CAGCAGACATATGTTTTCTCTCCATTCTGGAGGCTGGAAATTGAGCTCCAGGTACCAGGGCTGGTTTCTCCTGAGGCCTCTCATCTTGGTGTGCAGATGGCCGCCCTCTCCTAGATTGTCTTCGAGTGGTCTTTCCTCTGTCCATCTGGGTCCTAATCTACTCGCATAAGGATGCCAGTCACATTGGATTGGCGCCCACCCCAAAAATCTCATTTCAACCTAATCACCTCTATAAAGAGACTGTTTCCAAATACAGTCACATTGTGAGGTCCTGGGCCTTAGGGCTCCCACATAAGCCTTTTAGGGGACACCGCTCAGCCCATATTATTCCCCTTAGGGCTCCCGTGTCTACATCCACACAAAGTGGGTCAGGGTGTCGCACACCAGAGCAGGCAGAGCCGGCCTTGCATGAACGGCAGGTTCTCCAGCCAGATGCAAGTGACAGGATCCTTCCTGATTCACCCTCCCCTGCCCCGGGCCGGTTTTCAGCAGGGGACAGGTGCCATTCTTTCCACCGTGAGAAAGAACCTCTGACCCGCACCTTTCCCAGCATTGCCAGGAGCTGCTTGGGCACGGCAGGTTTCAGAGCACCTGCCTGTCAGCTTGTGTGTGGGAGGTGACCGCTCGGCTTGCAGAAGGTCCAGGTTGCCGCCCTGGAGCCCATGAATCCACCGAGAAGGACCTCAGCCACTCCGCCGCGCTGGGCACCTGCCGTGCGCCGGGCGCCGGTGAGGTCTCTACAGGTTCTGCTCTTGAATCCTCTCTCAGTCTCGTTTCACAGGGGAGAAAACTGAGGCGCAGAAAGGCTCAGCAGCGTGTGCAGGAATGTCTCTCCAAAAGTAACTGCTTCCATACACCCTTTCCAGGGCACTTGGTGTCATTTTAAAGGCCTGCTATTCTTTTTTCAAAAAAGCCTTTTTCCCTCTGTTTGAACAAATTACAGAAATTGCTATATATTGTCTGGGCGCGGTGGCTCATGCCTGTAATTCCAGCAGTTTAGGAGGTCAAGGTGGGTGGATCACCTGAGGTCAGGGGTTCAAGGTCAGCATGGCCAAGATGACAAAACCCTGTCTCTACTGAAAATACAAATATCAGCCAGGCATGGTGGCATGAGCCTGTAATCTCAGCTATTTGGGAGTCTGAGGCAGGAGAACTGCTTGAACCTAGAAGATGGAGGCTGCAGTGAGCTGAGATCTCACCGCTATACTCTAGCCTGGGCAACAGAGACTCTTTTCCCCCCCCAGTTCCCCCCAAATTGCTATATATTGACAGACAGGTACAAGTCACACATACTTTAAAGAATTGCAGGCTAGGTGTGGTGGCTGACACCTGTAATCCCAGCACTTTGGGAGGCTGAGGTGGCCAGATCATCTGAGGTCAGGAGTTTGAGACCAGCCTGGCCAACATGATGAAACCCTGTCTCTACTAAAAATACAAAAACTAGCCAGGCATGGTGGCATATGTCTATAATTCCAGTTACTCAGAGGCTGAGGCAGGGGAATTGCTTGAACCTGGGAAGTAGAGGTTGCAGTGAGCTGAGATGGCACCAGTGCACTGTAGCCCAGGTAACAAAGCAAGACTGTCTCAGAAAAAACAAAAGAATTGTAGCAGGAAAAGCTGGGCATGGTAGCACCTGCCTGTGGGCCTAGCTACATGGGAGACTGAGGCAGGAGGATTGCTTGAGCCCAAGAGTTTGAGTGAGCCATAACTGCCCTACTGTACTCCAGGCTGGGCAACAGAGCAAGACCCTGTCTCCAAAAAAAGAAAAAAGGCAGGCATACATTCTGTGATCTGTTTTTTTCTTTTTTTTTCTTTTTTTTTTTTTTTGCTTCATCGCTCAACTTGAGATCTGTTTCTTTACTCAGTATCATTTGCTGCTGTTTGTTGCTGGATATGTCCGTCGCTGGTTTCCATGGCTGTGGAATCGCGCTCCATTCTGTGAGGAGGTCGCTGTCTGGCGTGTCCCTCCCGTTACCTTGCATGTCTGGCCTGCTGCTGCTGGCAGCTTTTTAGCGTAGCGGTGCTCTGAAGTCACATGTGCAGCTGCCTCTCAATCATGGTCCTCAGCCTCGAGTGCTGAGGTGACCAGTGCTTCTGAAAACTGTCGAGAGCATCCCCAGGAGGGCTGTGGAGACAGACGGCTGGGCCCCGTCCCTGGAGAGTCTGAGGCGGGACCTGGGAGTCTGCAATTCTGGAAGCTCCTGGGTGATGTGCTGCTGCCAGTCCTGACACCACCACAGTCTGGGAACCACTGAGCTGGGCTGTGTACTGCGACTTGGAGTCTCTGGAACACCTCTTCACGGTTGTGGTTCTGATGCATGCTGGTCTTCTGCAGGCCCTCCTCCCAGATCCCTCCCGCCTACCCCGACGCAAGGGGTCGGGGTACACCTTCCCCTTCTAACGCAGCAGTCCTCAACCTTGTTGGCAGCAGGGAATGGTTTTGTAGAAGAGAATTTTTCCACGGACTGGGGCGCGGGGATGGCTTCAGGATGATTCGAGCGCATTGCGTTTATTGTGTACTTTATTTCCATTATCATTACATTGTAATACAGAATGAAATTATTATACAACTCACTGTAACGTAGAATCAATGGGAGCACGGAGCCTGTTTTCCTGGAACTTGACTGGTCCGTCTGGGGGTGATGGGAGACAGTGACACATCGTCAGGCCTTAGGTTCTCATAAGGAGCAGGCAACCTAGATCCCTCACGATAGGGATCGTGCTCCTATGAGAATCTTTCTTTTTTTTTTTTTGAGACGGAGTTTCGCTCTTGTTACCCAGGCTGGCGTGCAATGGTGCGATCTCGGCTCACCGCAACCTCTGCCTCCTGGGTTCAGGCAATTCTCCTGCCTCAGCCTCCCGAGTAGTTGGGATTACAGGCACGCACCACCATGCCCAGCTAATTTTTTGTATTTTTTAGTAGAGACGGGGTTTCACCATGTTGACCAGGATGGTCTCGATCTCTCGACCTCGTGATCCACTCGCCTCGGCCTCCCAAAGTGCTGGGATTACAGGCTTGAGCCGCCGCGCCCGGCTTTTTTTCTTTTTTAGATGGAGTGTCCCTCCATCGCCCAGGCTGGAGTGTAGTGGCACGAACTCAGCTCACTGCAACCTCTGCCTCCTGGATTAAAGGGATTCTACTGCCTCAGCCTCCCACGTAGCTGGGATTACAGGTGTGCCACCACGCCCAGCTGATGTTTGCATTTTTTGTAGAGACAGGGTTTCACCATGTTGGCCAGGCTGGTCTCGAACTCCTGGCCTCAGGTGATCTGCCCGCCTTGGCCTCCCAAAGTGCTGGGATTACAGGCGTGAGCCCTACCATGCCTGGCCTAAAATTTTCTCTTAAGGTAAATTAGAGTTGGGTTTTCATTTTGTTGCCCAGGCTGGTCTCCAACTCCTGAGCTTAAGCAGTCCTCCCACCTCAGCCTCCCAAAGTGCTGGGATTATAGGTGTGAGCCACCATGCCCAGCCTCTATACTATTTTTTAGGGCTAAAATGTTGGTGTCCTCACAGTTTATCTTGGAGTCAATGCTTCTGTTAGAATACTGGACATCAGCTGGGTGTGGTGGCTCATGCCTGTAATCCCAGCACTTTGGTAGGCCCGGCAGGTGGATCATCTGAGGTCCGGAGTCTGAGACCAGCCTGGCCAACATGATGAAACCCTGTCTCTACTAAAAACACACAAAAATTAGTCAGGCTTGGTGGTGCATGCCTGTAATCCCAGCTACTCAGGAAACTGAGGCAAAAGAATCGCTTAAACCTGCGAGGTGGAGGCTGCAGTGAGCTGAGATCGCGCCATTGCACTCCAGCCTGGGTGACAGAGCAAGACTCTGTCTCAAAAAAAAAAAAAAAAAAAGCCAAAAGTTAAAATGAGGCTGCACCTCATATTCACATTTCTTTTTTCTTTTCTTTCTTTTTTTTTTTTTTTTTTTTTTTTGAGGCGGAGTTTCGCTCTCGTTACCCAGGCTGCAGGCTGGAGTGCAATGGCGCGATCTCGGCTCACCGCAACCTCCGCCTCCTGGGTTCAGGCAATTCTCCTGCCTCAGCCTCCTGAGAAGCTGGGATTACAGGCACGTGCCACCATGCCCAGCTAATTTTTTGTATTTTTAGTAGAGACGGGGTTTCACCATGTTGACCAGGATGGTCTCGATCTCTTGACCTCGTGATCCACCCGCCTCGGCCTCCCAAAGTGCTGGGATTACAGGCTTGAGCCACCACACCCGGCATATTCACATTTCTTTAGCCCTATGGTTCTGCAGAGTTACCTGGAGGCCAAATAAAGACCTCAGAAGCCTAGGGTCCTTAAACTGGGCTAGAGCATGGGGCTCTGTCATCACCAGCTTCCTAGAAACAGAAATATCTACGCTTTAAAAATGAGAGGCCCGCAGGATGTGGTACAGTGGTTCACACCTGTAATCCCAGCACTTTGGGAGGGCCAGGCAGGAGGATCAGTTGAGGCTTAGAGTTGGAGACCAGCCTGGGCAACATGGCAAGACCCCGTCTCTACACAATAATAATAATAAAGCCTGGTGTGCTGGCTGCACCTGTAGAAGCTGAGGCGGGATTGCTTGATCCCAGGAGTTTGAGGCTGCAGCGAGCTATCATTGCACCACTGCACCCCCACCTGGGCAACAGCAAGACCCCATCTCTTTAGAGAAATCAGGCAGAGGAAGGCAGAGACCCTGAACAAAGAGGGAGCATGAAAGACAGCAGGAGCATAATGCGGCCCGCAGAGTGTCCCAGCCTCCTTAGATGCCTCGTTCAGCCCTTCCAAGGAGGGGGTTGTTCTGCCCAGTGTTTCTCAGCTGGGCTGTGATCAGTGCCCAGTTCAGGTCAGTCCCCTGGACCAGCAGGCCACTGCTGTGGCATCATTCATCATGGGCTCGCTAGTTCCCCTTCCCAGGTATTAATCCCCGAGCTCCCGGTTCCCTGCTCGACTCACGGAGGAGCACGGCGGCGTGGTGGGTGACTGGGTGGTGACCGTTTTCTTGTTTTTGCAGCTCTTGAGCAGGCTGACCGAGAGGTTCGTGCTGGGCGTGGATATGTTCGTGGAGACACTGTGGAAACTCTGGACAGAGCTCTTGCATGTTCTTGGACTTGATGGTAGGTGCGGGGGTGGCATTCATGTAAGATGTCATTTTATTTTGGTGGTTCTCAAAGTGTGGAACTGGTACTCACAGTAAGTAATACATGGGAAGGTAGGGGGAGGGCTGGGTCAGTAAGGATATGAGTGAACACTTTTTATTTTAATAGTCTCATATGTAGGCCAGGCATGGTGGCTTATGCCTAGGACTTTGGGAGGCCTAGGTAGGAGGATTGCTTGAACCCAAGAATTCAAGACCAGCCTGGACAACACAGTGAGATCCCATCTCTAAAAAAAAAAAAAAAAAAAATGCATGGCCGGGCGTGGTGCCTCACACCTGTAATCCCCACGCTTTGGGAAGCTGAGGCAGGCAGATCACAAGGTCAGGGGTTCAAGACCAGCCTGACCAACATGGTGAAACCCCATCTCTACTAAAAATACAAAAGTTAGCCGGGTGTAGTGGTGCACGCCTGTAATCCCAGGTACTCCAGAGGCTGAGGCTGAACCCGGGAGGTGGAGGTTGCGGTGAGCCAAGATCGTGCCACTGTACTCTAGCCTGGGCTACAGAACAAGACTCCTCTCAAATATAATAAAAATAAAAAATAAATGGCCCATCAAAGCTAAGACTTCCCAGACGCCATTTAGGATAAGGTCCAACTGGGTAGTGCCAACTTGTGTGTCCCTAGGCCAAACACATGGACCAGAGGTACAGTCTGGTTTACCGGGATCCTTAAAAGAAACGACCAGTGGGCCGGGCGCGGTGGCTCAAGCCTGTAATCCCAGCACTTTGGGAGGCCGAGGTGGGTGGATCACGAGGTCAAGAGATCGAGACCATCCTGGTCAACATGGTGAAACCCCGTCTCTACTAAAAATACAAAACATTAGCTGGGCATGGTGGCGCGTGCCTGTAATCCCAGCTACTCAGGAGGCTGAGGCAGGAGAATTGCCTGAACCCGGGAGGCGGAGGTTGCTGTGAGCCGAGATCGCACCATTGCACTCCAGCCTGGGTAACAAGAGCGAAACTCTGTCTCAAAAAAAAAAAAAAAGAAAGAAACGACCAGTTATTTAGGTAGAAGAGGATTCCATGGATATAGAGACACTCACAGAATCATCAGAAGGGCTGAGGGAGAGATACATGGCCTCAGACACTGCCGAACTGGCCATCCAGGGTTGCAGCTGGTGAAACCATTGAGTCCAGGGTCACACAGTGTCATATAACTTGAGCACCAAGTTATATGGAGGCCACTGCTGCTACCACAACAACTAGACTTTGCACGTGGCTGCTGGGACCCTTGCCGTTTCTGGAACCATGCATATCGGTGACAACACTTTACTTAATTTTCAAAGTCGTATACTTGGTCGGGGGAACTGCAGGGCAGAACTTAGTTTCTGTGCAGCCCCCAGCTGCGAGGGAGTCAGGCTAATGCAGTTCTTTTTTTTTTTTTTTTTTTTTTTTTTTTTTTTTTGAGACGGAGTTTCGCTCTTGTTACCCAGGCTGGAGTGCAATGGCGCGATCTCCGCTCACCGCAACCTCTGCCTCCTGGGTTCAGGCAATTCTCCTGCCTCAGCCTCCTGAGTAGCTGGGATTACAGGCACGTGCCACCATGCCCAGCTAATTTTTTGTATTTTTAGTAGAGACGGGGTTTCACCTTGTTGACCAGGATGGTCTCGATCTCTCGACCTCGTGATCCACCCGCCTCGGCCTCCCAAAGTGCTGGGATTACAGGCTTGAGCCACCGCGCCCGGCCGCTAATGCAGTTCTTAGCTCTCCAGCTTCTGCCATCTGGGAAGGCAGGCTGGGAGCAGGTGTCACCCGATGCTGCACCGGTCTGTCCACCAGACCCACTGCATGGGGCGGGAATCGCCCGGGGAGCTGGCCCTGGTTCTGTGGATAAGGGGAGGAGGGTAGCGCAGTTTCATAGTGCAGTGCTACTCACACACTTATAGCTGGGAAGAGAGCCAGTCATGTGGGCTGAAATGCGCTCGCCACGAATCTGTTCCAGTCCTGACCCCTGGACCTGTGAGTCGGCCCTTGTTTGGGAATAGGGTCTGCAGATGTAATCGAGTGAAGGGAGATCCTCTTGGATTAGGGTGGACCCTCACCTGTGATTGATGTCCTTATAAGAAGTGAAAAATTCGGCCGGGCGCGGTGGCTCAAGCCTGTAATCCCAGCACTTTGGGAGGCCGAGGCGGGTGGATCACAAGGTCAAGAGATCGAGACCATCCTGGTCAACATGGTGAAACCCCGTCTCTACTAAAAATACAAAAAAAAATAGCTGGGCATGGTGGTGCGTGCCTGTAATCCCAGCTACTCAGGAGGCTGAGGCAGGAGAATTGCCTGAACCCAGGAGGCGGAGGTTGCGATGAGCTGAGATCGCGCCATTGCACTCCAGCCGGGGTAACAAGAGCGAAACTCCGTCTCAAAAAAAAAAAAAAAAAAAAAAGAAGTGAAAAATTGCTGGGCGCAGTGGCTCATGCTTGTAATCCCAGCACTTTGGGAGGCTGAGGCGGGTGGATCACAAGGTTAGGAGATCGAGACCATCCTGGCCAACATGGTGAAACCCCGTCTCTACTAAAAATACAAGAATTAGCTGGGTGTGGTGGTGTGTACCTATAATCCCAGCTACTCAGGAGGCTGAGGCAGGAGAATCGCTTGAGCTTGGGATGGGGAGGTTGTGGTGAGCCGAGATCGCACCACTGCACTCTAGCCTGGGCGACGGAGCCGAGACCCTGTCTCAAAATAAAAAAAGGAAGAAGTGGGAAATGGGGACACAGAAACACCAGGAAACACAGGGAGAAGACGGCCATGTGGAGCGAGAGACAGGGACTGGGGGAACGGAGCCACAGGCCAGGGAACACCTGGGCCACCAGAAGCTGGAAGAGGCGAGGCAGGATCCTCCCTTGAACTTTCAGCAGGAGTGTGGCCCTGCCGATACCTTGATTTCACACTTCTATTGTAAACCACCCGGTCTGTAGCGGTTTGTTGCAGCAGCCAGGGGAAACTTCTACCATAGCCCTGTTCCGTGCGGAATCTCTCAGCACCTCCCGTCTGCCCTTGACACCCCCATTTTACGGATGAGTGATGGGGGAGTGAGGTCCGCTGGCTGTGCTGGGCACACTGGTTCATATCTGTTGACACCCCAGGCCATTCGGAAGCCTCTTCAGCCTTGATTTATTGAGTTCAAACTTTAAAAGGCCTGAGGCCAACTCAGCCACCTGACTGCTCAAAGAATCAGAGGCCTCAGCAGAGCCATTTGAGAGGACACTGTGCCCCTGGCAGCCCCGGGGCCACTCATGGTCCCTCCTGGAACTCAGTTGAGTTAACGCACCCTCCCCCAGATGCAGCCGCTGCGTGCGATCCTCTTAGCTTCATGTCCACCACCTGCCCGGATTGTTAAACTCTCTATGTTTTCATCCCCACCCACTGAACCCTGGAAAAACAAACCTGATTGCAGAAAATCGCACGCAGCTTGGAATGAAAAAGTGCAGAGCAGGAACAGCCTCCTAATCATATGGGAGAAGCCCAGAATAGAGGCATCCGCAGTGGATCCAGGAGCTGACTGCCTGCATTCATCAGGAGAGCAGCTGGCGCCTTCCGGAGGCAAGGCAAGCTTGCTTCCGTGTCGTGGCTTTTCTGGTTCTGTTTGACGCGTAAGCTTCAAAGCATCCGAAGGCCTTTGGAATTTGTGTCTTATGCATAGAAGTTTGAGTGTGCAAAATGCTTTACAGGAAACCACACACCAACGTTGGATATTCTGGTAAAAAAAGAAAAAGGTTTCTGTGAGCACAATCCTACAATTTCTTTCTTCAGTGTTTTTTTTTTTAGAGTCTGGTTAAAATGAGAACTCTGTGGCCCAGAGTGGTCTAATAGAAAAAGAATGTAGCGGGGGCCGGGCGCGGTGGCTCAAGCCTGTAATCCCAGCACTTTGGGAGGCCGAGGCGGGTGGATCATGAGGTCGAGAGATCGAGACCAACCTGGTCAACATGGTGAAACCCCATCTCTACTAAAAATACAAAAAATTAGCTGGGCATGGTGGTGCGTGCCTGTAATCCCAGCTACTCAGGAGGCTGAGGCAGGAGAATTGCCTGAACCCAGGAGGCGGAGGTTGCGGTGAGCCGAGATCGCACCATTGCACTCCAGCCTGGGTAACAAGAGCGAAACTCCGTCTCCAAAAAAAAAAAAAAAAAAAGAATGTAGGGGGGTGGGTAGTAAAAAAATAAAAATTTAAAAAAAAAAAAAAAGAATGCAAGCCCCATAGGTGATAAGAAATTTTCTAGTAGCCATGTCAAAGAGTAAAAAAAAAAACTGGTAAAATTAATTTTTCTTTTTTTTCTTTTTTCCTTGTTTTGTTTTTTTGAGGTAGAGTCTTGCTCTGTGCCCAGGCTTGAGTGCAGTGGCGCAATCTCAGCTCACTGCAGCTTCCACCATCCCGGGCTCAGGTGATCCTCCCATCTCAGCTTCCTGACTGGCTGGGACCACAGGTGTATGCCACCACATCTGGCTAATTTTTGTATTTTTCATAGAGATGGGGTTTTGCCACGTTGCCCAGGGTGGTCTCAAACTCTTAGGCTCCAGTGCTTTGCCTGCCTTCCTCCCGAAGTGCTGGGATTACAGGCAGGCGCCACCATGCCCAGCTGAAATTAATTTTAATATGATATTTTAGTTAACGCAATATATTCAAAACAGCTCAACTTACAATTAATAGAAAATTATTAACGAGGCATCTCACATTTTTTTGGGTACTAAGGCCTTTGAAACTCAGTCTCCATTTGACACTTAGAGCACATGTCAGTTCTGAGCTGTCACACTTCAAGAGCTCAGCACAAGATAGATGGCACAGCTTTTGTCCCCATTCTAGATCTGCTGGCACAGAGCATGTGCCCAGGAGATGGCGGGATGGCTTAGAAGGATGGATTTAAGGCTCTTGTGTTCGTCATGTTGCTTCCTCTGAAGCCACTGTGGCCACTTCCAACAAAATTTCCAATAAAGTGGGGAAAATGAATAGCCCCTGCCTCAATG